GGAGTGAAACCCAAAATTTCCTAGAGGGAAGTTCAGGTTTATACTACTGATTTTCAACAGCAGTGCAATTATCCCTCTGTCCCAGAGAGTTGCTGGAACTAACTCTGTGCTGACAGCTGCGTATTACCGAAACTTGGAACGTTTCAGAGTTCACCGTGGTGTTCTTTTTTTTAAATTTGTTCTTCCAAGGCAAATTTGTTACTTGGTTGAAATTCATAACCCTTGAGGGAAAGGTTACCGGTGGATGAGCATGGCGCTTGCTCTTGTACCAGGAGGCATGACCGCTCCCCGCCACGTTGGGAACACTGCAAGCTCCGACGCTGGGATGAAGTACAAACCCCTGCTGCCACCGCGCCTGGACGGGGCCGAGGACCGGTCTGGGCACCTCCGTCTGCCCGAGGCTCTCCTTCCATCCATCTCCCTGCTTCCAGGTACTTGGCCGTGAGCATCCATCCCTCTCGCTGCCTTCCCCGGTCTCATTTCCAGGTCTGAGGTGGGTTTCGGGGACAGGTGTCCGTGCAGGGGGGAAATAGGGAGGCGCAGCCTGGCGTCGCCGCCGGGTGTCCCGGCGGGGCCGGGAGTGGGGGCGGTGTCCCTGCCGCTCGGCCCCTGCCGTGCCCGGAGGCTCGGCCCGGAGAGGCTCACCCGACGGAGGTTCGGCCACCCGGGCGGGCAGCGGCTGCTGGCGGCCGAGGCGCATCCGGCTGTTCTCAGATGTGGGAGAGGTGCCCGCGCCTCCTTCCTCCGTCTTTCTTAACCGGGAGGCTCCCCCAGGCGCCGGGCTCGCGCAGCAGCTGCCTTCTGAAGCCTGTGTGAAGCCGAGCAGTTACTGGAGCCGGTCGCCAGAAGGATAAAAGTTTCTCTAAAGTTGAAGGAGTTTTACAGAAAGTGGCGGAGGAGCGATTTGTCCAGAAAGGGGCGCAGCCGGTGGCTCAGGAGCCCTCCGCTGTGCGGTTTGGGAAGGGAAGGCACAGCCAAAGATTCTCGCTTTGCTTGCCCCAGTCTTTAATGCCTTTTTTTTTTTCCCTTTCTTCTGTGGTTTGTTGTTGTTGTTGTTGTTGTTGGTTTGTTGGTTTGGGTTTTTTTTTTTTACCTCTGCAGTATGCATGATTGGGGTTGTGACCTAAAGAGACTTCCTTTTTGGTGCCCCATATAGCTACACGATATAGCCTGGTTCCTCATCGTGTGAAATCTTGTAGCTACCCTGGGTGTGTGCAATGGTGCAATAAGGGCTTTAACAGGTACTAAAGCAGTGAGACAAAAGGCTGTAGTAGAAAACTGGGCTTGCCTGCAGGTGTGGCACATTTTTCACTGCTTTATAAAAACTTTATGTAACTTGGTATTTTCTGCTTGCTATGCCAGCCCTTGATTCCTGCATGATTTTAGGAATATCTATCTGAATTTCTTAGAGCCGTGCTCAAATATCTGACTGCGCTGTATTATCTGGAAACTCTTTATTCTTTGGAATTATCACTGATGGATTCTTGTTTCCTAATTTTACACGTAAGAACTTGGTCTCTATTCATGCCTGGTAACTCCAGAGTTGTATCAGGAGTTGTTATACATGGTGTGTTTAAAATTTAAAGGTAGGCTACTGTTTGTGTGTGTATGCATTGTGTGCACAACTTTGATGGGAATTTTTTTCTTTTTTTCTTTCTCTAATCAACCCTCCTTTTTTAAGCTGTATAACATAGCAAATGCTTTGCAGTTGATTATCTCTTCTATTTTTTGCAAGTTGTGAAAAATCTTTAAAAGGCTGGGCTTTGCTTATGTTCTTGACAGAAGATGCTCCTGTCATGTTTTAGGAACGGTACTCCCCAAATTAGTGTTCCCATTGGAACTTCAAACCAGGCTACTGGTGTTGTCATGTGAGTGAGTTGACATGGCTTTCTCTGCTACATGTCATAGAGTTTGCTGTGGAGCATCACTTAGCCAGCCCCTGGGAGCTCGCTCCAAGCCCCAAATGCTTCTGCATGGCTGCCAGTACGGCCACCACTTCTGCCCAGAGCAGAAGTCTGGGAAACAGGAGGCTGAGATGGGAGCCTGCATGGGAGGAGAGAGATGAAAGTACCAAGAAACGGAACAGAACCTGAAAAATCCTGGGGGATCCTCTGGAAAGGCTCTGACACAGTGTTTGGTGGGCACTGGTTTCACTTCCCTGCTCTTTGCCTGCAGTGCAAGCTGGTGCTGTGAGGCTAAATAAGAGGCTGGATGGAGCCCCTTCCCCTAGTGGAGGTTCCAGGAGGGATGCTCTGGAGTCCATCTCACCTTGTTATGATTTAGTCTACAAGATGGGGCAGTTGAAGGGAGAGGGAACTGATATAAACACTTATAGACCTACAAGAAGTCATGGAACTGATGAGAATTAGAGAACTTGATGATGCTGCCCCTGATGGATGGAAGAGTCAAATTCATGAATAGCGGAGATGAACAGAGATCAAAGAACCAACTGGGTTGGAAAAGATCTCTGAGATCATCAAGTCCAACCCTTGATCCAACACCGCCGTGGTTACTAGACCATGGCACTAAGTGCCACATCCAATCTCATCTTAAAAACCTCCAGGGACGAAGAATCCACCACCTCCCTGGGCAGCCCATTCCAATGTCTGATTACTCTCTCTGTAAAAAATTTTTTCCTAATATTCAACCTTAACCTCCCCTGGCACAGCTTAAGACCATGCCCTCTTGTCCCACTGCTGGTTGCCTGGGAGAAGAGACTGACACCCACCTGGCTACAACCTCCTTTCAGGTAGTTGTAGAGAGTGATGAGGTCTCCCCTGAGCCTCCTCTTCTCCAGGCTAAACAACCCCAGCTCCCTCAGCCTCTGATATTTTCCTGTAACACAGCCCCTCTCCCTTTCTTACAGAAAACTTGTGAAGGGTATGGTGGGTATCCTTCTGCAAGTATAACTAGGAACTTCACGTGGTGCCTAATGTGGACTGGGTTACCATGTGGCAGGGAACTGTGCTGTGTGGTTTTACAGCAAAACCCTTGGGCACAAGACATCACCTTGGAGCGCAGGAGCACAGTCGCACCTCTGGCTTTCCCCTTCTGGAATTATATAAGATGCAAACACATTTGGGGTGGGGAGGCTTCAGGCAAACCTGCCCCCTGCAGTGATTCCTCTCCTAATCCAGGTGGTGGGTTTGGTTTGCTTGTGGGCTGGGGCAAAGTGGTGGCATCTGCAGGTGTCTCCACACTGCCCTCTTGGTGGGGAAGGATCTGTTGTTGCTTGTGACTCCCCTGTGCCAGAGATGTGGATTCCATGGGGACAAGGGCGCCAAACAGGAGCTGAAGGTCCCGTGGAGACAAGTCCATCTGCTCTTGCTCCAGAGATGCCAGAGTGTCCTGGGAAAGAGGAGCATGTGGCACTGGGACCCTGAGGCAATTGCCACAAGGTGGCACTGGCCTCTTGTCACCCAGCCTGGTGGCATCCAGCCAGCAGCTCCAGGGTGGGAGAACCCCTGCCACAGGCTCTGGTCCAAATTTAACTGCAGGGATGGACAGGAGGAGCTGCCGATGGATCAGAGATCAGGTGGATAATGATCACTGCAGAAGCTATGGCTTTGTAGGAGGGATTTTCCCGTTTAGAGTCTGCTGGATTAGGGAAAAGCATTCTTATGATATGCCACCCTTTAACAGGGTTTTTCCCCTTAGGTCATAGCAGAAGAGAACTCCAGGCTCACCAGATTCATCCCTCTCTCCCAGAAGTGGGAAAAGCAAAAAGACCAGATCCAGGGCGGATTTGGGGTGCCACACTCACCATCCAGCACCCATCCCATCCCAGGGCCCCACATCCTGCCCCTGGCATACGAGGCTGCTCCATGGCTCTTCCCATCGGAGGACAAACATCACAGAGGTGGAAGAAACCCAAGAGTGGATTGTGTGTCTCTGTCCCCACCTGACCGAGTTCCCCTGATTTATTTGCAGATAGGTTTATTTTCCTTTCCCAGCGCTGCAACTGAAAGACAAACACAATAAAGCTTCTCCAGCTACTTCCTGCTTGGGCCAGGTGCCAGAGGACAGTGGTTGCACCTGGACCCCAGAAAGCCCTGCTGGCTCAGGAATCCCAGCGGGATCAGCCCCCAAGTGAGCTCCCCAAAACCCCTGCTTCAGGTTTTGTGCCCAAGCAGAGGGCATGGAAAATCAGGAATTAGTCACTGAGCTGCTGCCATATCAGTGCCTCTGGTGCCAAGGTTTCCAGCCCTTCCCCAAACACGCTCACATCTACTATCATTTTTTGGTTTAGGGTTTGGCGCCACTGTTTGGGCTCAGGATTGCAGCCGTGTTTAACCTTGGAATGCTGGCAGAAAGGCCCCTGTGGGCCAGCTAATCTAGCTGCAATTAAAGACATTCATTATGCCATTATGAACAGGTTAAGACCTGTGGGAGACTGGGTCACTGGTGCTGCCCCACAGCCTGTTTTGAAGGACAGGGACATTCACTCTCCTGGACACCAGCCACTCCACAGGGCAGATCCAAACCCAGCCAGCTTAATAGCAGAGTCAAAGCCAAGGAGCCAAGCAGGACCCAAGAACATCCCTTTCCCGTCCATCACTGCGCCCTGACCCTGTGGAAAACACATTTGGGACCTGCAGTACAAAAGGCCAAAGCTACAGCTGACAGCAGGAAGGAAGCAGGAAAAACTCCAGCATCACCGTCCGGAGCTCGGAGAGACCTTTGGAGATGCGTGGAGCCACACGACTCCAGCCAGGCTCGGGCCATGCTCACAGTGTGCCCACGGCTCCAGCAACACTCTCTGGACAGCAGCAGAGACAAAGCAGCTCCTTGGGTAGTAGGGCTTGCTCTATCCTGCAGGAACTTTCCCATCATAGGGGCTGTGACGCCACCCAGGGATTGCCCTTGAATCCACCTTGGCAGCACACAGGGAGCAAGTTTAGCCATTCCAGCATCCCCTCGGGCCCTGGCACAGAGCGGTGCCCCATGGACTGCCCCCAGCGTTGACTCTACTCAGAGAAGAAACAAACACAACCACCCTGGAACCCGCCACCTCCTTTAATTCCCTGCCAGAAAAGCAGGGCCTAGCCCAGCTCAAGAATTACAGGGTTGCAGCACCAGAAAAGCCCGTGTCACACAGCTGCTGGGAGCCCATGGAGGTCAACGCTGGTTGATCCAGTAGGCATCAGAAAATGGGGAATTTTTCTCCTGGAAGACCCCTTCCAGCCTCAGCATGTGGGTAAGGAGCTGCCTTTACCATCCCTGTCCCCATGGGGCTCAGTCAAGGTGGGTCTGCAGGACCAGGACCTGCCTGTCGCTTGCATTCTGCCAGCTCTTGCCAGCCAGGAGCTGTATCCTGGTGAGGATATCCTGGTGCTGCTCACACCGGGGCTGAGCATCTCCACGGTGGGGGTTCCCAGGAGATTTGGGGCCGGCAACACTGCCACATCCCACAGACAGTGGAATGTGCGGAGCAACCTGACCCCAAACCCACTGGCTCTGTGGGGACAAGGCGTTAGGGCCAGGCTCAGATCATGGAGACCCTGTTCTTGATGTAGACGTGGTATGGGTCACTGCGCTTGTCCACCTTCCGGGAGCGGGTGTAGCCCAGGATGAGGCTGCCCACCGTGGCAGCAAAGAGCGTCATGACAAAGAGGATGTACATGTAGGCGTTGTCATTCCGGCTGGGATGGCCAAGGCGGGTATTCTGTGTGGCAGCAGCAGTGGTGGCAGAGTGGTCAGCGGGGCAGAGGATGACCCCGTGGAGTGTCTGGTTTAAGGCGTTAAGCATAGCCTGCAGGCTTTGTTGCCAGGTCTCCGTCTGGTTATTCTCTTCCATGTCCTCTAGGCTGCAGGAAAGGACAGGGAGACTCATAACAGGCTGCCCTCGTGGTGGGGCAGCTCCCAGGATGATGGTCCTGCTGGACGCAACAATGACCCCAAAATGATCCCTGAAGCACCTCCTCTGCCACAAAGCAGGGCTGTCCAAACCCTTTGCATTCCTGGCAGCCCCCTCTTTAAATTTCACTCCTTCTACAGAGGGAATAAAGCTCCTGGGGCTCTGAGACAGCTGCCTGACCCCCTCTAATGTGTCCTATGAGGACAATGGGACAAAGCTGACCCAGGGGGCCAGGACGGTTGGGTTCAAAGTCTGCTTTCCCTGGGAATGTGTGGGGATGGCAGGCACATATCCTGTACCCTTGCAGGGTGCAGAGCTGGCACAGCTCCCCACACACCTCTGTAGACGCATATCGAGGGGTTGCTGCCCTAAACCTCCCTTCCTAGGGGTCCCAGACCCCCTCTGACCTGCCTCCCTTTTGGACATTATGCCCCTCTGCCAGCACCCCCTGGACCTCCATATGCCCCCTCTGTGCCCTTGTGCACCTTCCCTTGCCTGGGCCAGGAAGGGACACCAGGACACAGTCCTCCACGTGTGCCAGGAAGGGACACCAGGACACAGTCCCCCACGTGTGCTGTCCTTTGGGACATGCTGGCCCTACAAACCACTGTCGCCCCCCCAGGTATCCACCCTTTTCCCTCCTGCTCCCATGCACCAGCAGCTCTACCCCATGCACATGCAGCTGATCCCCCCGAAAAAGGTCACCCCAAACTCAGCATGCAGCTCTCAGGATGAGACCCCAGTAGCGAAGAGGAGGAGGAAGGGGCTGAGCAGCCACGATGGGCTCAGATCTGGCTGCCTTCCTGACTTAGAGAAAAGTTTGAAGCAGGAGGAGGCTGAACTTGATTTAGGGCAAGACCTGCAGTAGGATACCTGCAGATGGGATGCAGCATGGGGGGACCCAGCTTAGGGAGAGGGTGGGGCCAGGAAGGGGAATGGGGGCCAGGAAGTGGGAAGGGGAGATCGCACTCACCCGGGGTGCCCTCCCTGCCTGCGCTGCTGCCAGGCTGAGCCAGACTGAGCATCGCGGGCGGTGGGAAGGGATGCGGCCGGGCTGGGAGTGCCGCCAGTCTCCTCCCCTTCCCGGGGCAGAGCCACCTGCCACAGCCACCCAGCCCCGCCACGGGCCACCAGCCTGTCCCCAACCCCAAGGGTCCTTCCACGGCCCCCTCGCCCCAGCCAGATACCGGGGGCCTTATAGGGCCGGGAGAGCTGGATTCTGCGTTTCCCCTCCGGCACACGCTGCCGGTCACGTTTTCCTGTCCCTCCTCATCCGTCTGTCCCCGAGCCCTGACACTGGCACCAAGCCTGCCTGGGCACGTTCTTCCCTGCTCGTCATTCCCTCCCAGAGCTGAGCCTGCTCCATGAAATGAGATTTTCCTCTTTTTCCAGCCCCATTGCTCCCAGCTGCACCCTTGGTCCACCCAAAACCCCGAGGGCAGATGCAGAGAAACCCCAAGGCTTGTGAGGAAGAAAAAAGGCCCAGAGCAGTGGTGAGGGGCTGTGGGTGGGGGTCAGGTCTTGTTGGAGCAGGATGTGGGGACTTTAGTCCCAGGGGACTTTCTTATCCCTGTCTATTAAAATCAGTTTATGATGCTGTGGCTGGGACAGCAATGTCAGAAGTGCCAACATGGACCCCAACGTCTCCTCCAGCACCACAGACCCAGTGGGAGCAGGTCCCCATCACCCAGCCGGGATCCTGCGTGGTCCCACAGGGTCCACGACAGCCATAGTTTCTCTCCTCAGGCACCTCGACCCTTTTCCCTCCTCCTCCTGCTTTTCCCACTGCATTCACATCACTCCAGTGCCCTTTTAACCACCACTTACAGCCATTTTCCACTCTCCCTAACCCCAGGGTGAGAATTTCTCTGGGTTCAGGGTGACAAAAAGGTCATTATTCATAAAGTCTTGAGGTAAATAAACTAGCAAAGGATTGGCAGCAAAAGTTCCCAGCAACTCTCTTTATATAAAATCTGCCTCTTTTTACCCATCAGCAAGGGAAGGATGCTCAACCCACCAGTCCCTGTTCCTCTGGTCCAGCTGGTGCATGAGTGTTCACCTAAATTTTGGATTTTTGCAGGGAGAGCAGCAGAAAAAAACCACAAAAGCACCTATTTGGGTATTTCCCCAGCAAGTGACACAGGGATGGTCTCAGCTGAAGGATGGAGTCCCAGGGGCCTGGGGAGAACAGCCCCAGGGAAGGTTTGGATGTTTAAGCAGCAGCCTAAACCTCTGTGCCACCGTCCAGGCAGAGTCTACAGGCAAAGGCACAAGAGCTCGTCTCACAACAAAGCCCTAGGTGGCTGCCACGATGTCCATCAGCCATGCCATGGCTTTGCCAAAACACCAGGCCAAGGCACCACGACAGTCCTAATCCCCTGAAAAGTCCAAGGTGCAGTCAAACACCTCCTGGAAGGAGTCGAGGAAGGGCTCCAGGACATGGTCGACGGTGATGTGCCGCCCCAACTCGTGGCTCAGCGAGGTGACACCTTTCCCCTCCAGCCCGCAGGGGACGATGTGGTCAAACCAGGCGAGGTCAGTGCAGCAGTTCAGTGCCAGCCCATGTGAGGTGATGTGGTTGCCACAGTGCACACCTGCAGGGGCCAAAAGCACCCACCCATCAGCACCCATCACCAGGGATGTCCGAGTGTGAGATATTTAGTGACTACACTGCCCAGGTCACTATAAATATCCTCCCCTCTGCATGCTGTGATCCCCAGTTCTGCCAGGGAAAACCCCTAACCTAGAGGAAGGCTCCCCAATTTTGGAAAAGATAGGGTGCATCCCCCAGTACCTCCCACTGCTGGAGTTTCCAAGGGCTTGGACACAGGGCTGTGCTGCAAAGGGGGGTCTGGCCTGCAGGACCCCAAACACAGGCGGCAGAGCCCAGCTGGGGGTGCTGGGCTGCAGGAAGGGGTGCAGGAGGCTGTGGAGGGGGACAGGGGAAAGGGGCAGGGCTGGGGACCAGGCTGCAGGCACCCAGCCATGGGTGCAAAGGCCTAATAAGTGCAGGGTGTGAGGTGAGGTCGCCTTCCCTGGGCAGCTGTTCCAGTGCTCTGCCACCGTCCATGGAAAGAAGGTTTTCCTCATGTTGAGGTGGAATTTGCTGTGTTTCAGTTTATGGCCATTGCCCCTCATCTTGTCACTGGGCACCACTGAACAGCACCTGGCACCATCCTCTGACACCCCTTGGAGATATTTGTATGGACTGATGAGATCCCCTCTCAGTCTTTCCTTCTCCAAACTAACCAGGCCCAGATCCCAGAGTCTCTTCATAAGAGAGATGTTCCAGTCCTTCAATGATCTTCATGGCTTCCACTGCACCCTCTCCAGTCGCTTGTCTTTCTTGTACTGACGAGCCCAGAACTGGACACAGATTTTTACTCCCAATATCCCAGAACTAGGCACGGAAGATATTTCTTCCCAATATCCCATCTAATCCTGCCCTCTGGCAGTGGGAAGCCATTCCCCTTGTCCTGTCACTCCAGGCCCTTGTCCAAAGTCCCTCTCCTGCTCTCTTGAAGCCCCTTCAGGCACTGCAAGGAGCTCTTAAGTTATCCCTGGAACCTTCTCTTCTCCAGGCTAAACACCCCCATCTCTCAGCTTGCCTGCAGAGCAGAGGTGCACACGTGCACACCCGCTCCCTGCCCCGCGTCCCCGCTCACCGATAGCACACAACTTGCTGTCGCCCATCCAGACTCCGGTGAAGGGCGGCGGGAGGGCGCGGGCGGCTCCCAGGCCGAGCCGGCGGCAGAGCCGCAGCACCAGCGCCTCCAGCCCGGCCACGTACCCGCGGAGCGGGAGGCGGCGGCGGCGCAGATCGAGCACGGGGAAGGCGAGGAGCTGCCCGGGGCCGTGGAACGTGATGTGGCCGCCGCGCCGCGCCGCCACCAGCCCCGCGCCCGTCGCCCGCAGCGCCGCCGCCGCCGCCGCGTCCGGCGCGCCCCGCAAGCCCCACGTGTACACGGGGTGCGCCGGCTCGCTCAGCACCACGCTCTCCGCGGGCACCGCGCCCTCACCGGGCAGCGCGGCCGGGCCCCGCACCGCGCTCTCCGCGGGCACCGCGCCGTCACCGCGCAAGGGAGCGGGGCCGCCCCGCCCCGCGCGGGCCCCAGCGGCGGGGGCCGGGCCCCGCGCCG